AAAACAGGAAGAATTGTTATTTCTCTTTTTACATTTTTCATTTTGTTTGTTTACAATTTTTTTTCCAGGAAAGACAACTGTGTATGCTCAACTTATTTAATCTGATTGAATGTTTGGTGCATGTATACTCACAGCATGATCGGATCATATCAGTAAGTGTCCATGTGGATTTGGGATTTCCGATCAACCAAGAATTGAATCAGATTAGGGAAATGTAAACGTAGCTCATGTTTATGGATTGTGAAAGTTTTGACACAGTTTGCTACAAATCAGTACTTTCATCCTCACGGGCTCCCATAGAAGGAAACATAGCATTGCCAAGAGACTTAGACCTGCTCCCATGTGTTTTAGACCTGATTTTTGAGGTCATATGTTAAGAAACCGACTATATTTTTCAACAATTGGGCACCATTTAACTCATTTTCAACAACCTTTTGATGGAAGTTTCCAGAGATTAACGGTAAAAACTACACACTGTCTCTTTGCTGTGGTGTGAGAGGATTTCTGAGCTGGAACTATGTGAACAAACTTAACTGAATTTTGCAGAAAGCATATTCAACTAGAGCAACACCATTGAAGCTGCAACGGTTAAAAAAAAGCTGTGTGTGTGTGTGTGTGTGTGTGTGTGTGTGTGTGTGTGTGTGTGTGTGTGTGTGTGTGTGTTAGAATAATTATTCATGTTTTCTTTATCATGCTTTATGCTGAATGATTTTACCATTTGATGCTTAAACAGTTGCTGTATTGTAAAGTCCCCTCATGAGACTTTAAGAGTGTTAAAATCTGACCTAATATGACCCGAAGTTGACCTGAGGAGATCTGCTGATCTGTCAATTGCTGACTCGTGCAACTGCTTGCGACTCATCGTGTGATTAGACACTGAAAGTTTTTTGTGTAATAATGAATGCTCTGTTTGAAACTTGTAACAATTAAAGACTGAGAGCTGTGTTTTCCCCCCTCCCTTCAGATCAGCTCTTCAGGCATGTAACTGGGGAGCTCCCAGCTTGTAATAAATAGAGACGCTCGGATTCCAAAGGCCAGAGTGGCGAGGGATTTCACACAGTGAGGTGGAGATCACACTGTGTTGTCTCTGTCATTCTCCTCGAGCTTAAAAACAGAATTCTGACTTTTGTGTCTCTTTCCTTGTGTTGTGTTGTTATATGGTGTCTTAGGTGCTTAAACCTGACATTATGTGTGTGTGCGTGTGTGTGTGTGCGTGCGTGCGTGTGTGTGTGTGTGTAAGGAGTGGTGCAGCTCTGGGAGTTTTTATTTGCAGGACAACTTATTCAACACAAGCAGACTGGAGTCCTTAACAAGAGGCAGAGGCTTGAAGGAGATTTGGAGGAGAGTGAAAGGAGGAGAACAGTGGGATGATGAAGCAGAGGGAGCTGTCTGAACAAAGCTTGTCTTTAAAAGCTTTCTTGGCTGCCTGTAACGTGGTTATTGTCCGTGATGAACCATGGCTTTGGCATGCTGTTTTACTGCTTGTATCATTATCATATTCATGTTGCACAAATGTGACAAAATGCTGCCATTTTAAATCACCATTACTTATATTAACTAGTCTGCTGTGAAGTCCATCCATCCATCCATCTGAACCCGCTTGTCCACACAGGGTCACGGGGGGCTGGTGCCTATCTCCAGCGGTCAATGGGCAATCAGGCGAGGTACACCCTGGACAGAATACCAGTCCATCGCAGGGCAACGCACGCACGCACGCACGCACGCACGCACGCACGCACGCACACACACACACACACACACACACACACACACACACACACATCTAAGGACAATTCAGACAGACTAATCAACCTACAAGTCATGTTTTTGGACTGTGGGATCCCAGGCTAAGTCAATATAACTAAATGTTTTTGTCTTCTTACTGCAGCACAACAACATTATTGTACACATTATGGATTTGATAAAACAACAATGAAGCAACGCAACTCACTGTTTTAATATTTATTAAAGAGGTAATAACTCAATATGTACCATCAAACTAGATCTTTAAGGAGTTCCTTCACTCATATTTGAACTTGATTGCAGCGGTCCCTAGTAGAAACGAATGCCTTGTAGGTCGTACTCGGGGGCGGGGGGGGGGGGGGGGGGTCGGGGAAGCTCCGGTGCACCAGTTTCAGCAGAGAGAACTCAGCTGGAGGAGGAAATAGCTTCAGACAGCAGAATTTGTAGTCGTATTTCCTGATATTTGGACATCTCTCCTCTGATTAGCTAACAGCAACACGACTCTACCACTGACTCTGTTTGCTCTGCAACGCTGATATTTTATCTCCACAAATAACACAAGCTCGAAGGAGTTCTGCTGTGTGGTGAAGGTGCTAATGCTAACGGTTAGTTTCTACAGGCCAAGACACTCTCTGCTGTTTCTTGAATGCTAAACCAACAACAGCCTTCCCCATCATGAGTCAAGATGGTTGAGTCCATGAATGTTAAGTGAGAGTGTGACATAAATCATCCTAGAATTTCACCATCTATTTACGATCAGAAGCTAGTGCAGGAGATAGGTGTAGGAGACTATTTTCCTGTTCAGTATGCATGAAAAACTCAAAATGGTTGATTTTTATCAGAAATGACAAATTCAAAAAAGGGTTTCTCATTGAAAGACCTCTTTATGTTGTTGTTGTTGTTGTTTATGTTGTCAAAGTAATTAGAACTTAAAAAATACTTCTGCTATTTTTATGATTTAACAAAATTGCAGAGGGACTCATCAAAATGCTATTTTAGGCTTGGTGCGGTCCAGTGTGGAGCACTGAGGTTTAACAAACTTTAAAACTCATCTTTGAAATATTTGCTCTGCTTTGTCGTTTTAAAAAGTAAACTACTTTATCAATCAAGGCATGGTCTTTTCTTTTCAAATCTACAAACCCACATCGTCCAAAAGGAGTACGGGTGGTCACTTTCATCGTTCAAATGACTGACTGAGCCGAGTTGGGGGAAAAGTGGTTGAAAGATTTGCTTCTTAGCAGTGGAATCAGCTCTAAAACCACCTGAATCTCTCAGGGTAACAGTCTTTTTAAATTCACAAACATCTGGATGTAATGGTCACCGGCTCTGAGGACTGATAGGACTTTAGTTTCTATTTTAGATCATTTGTCTTTAGTGATGCGTAAACTTTTCTTTGTGTGTGTGTGTGTGTGTGTATGTATACATGTTTATCAATCAATCAAAGCTTTATTTATTAAGTGCCTTCCGCAACCCTGTCAGGAAGCCCAAAGCGCTGAACATGGTTCAGTTGAAGGTAAATATATTGAATAAATCAAAAATAAAAGCAATTTAAATTACAAAATACAAATTACAAAAAAGGTGAAACATTCTGGTTCAGGACAAATGTGTAAAACAATGGATTGAGTGAACCAATGAAAACTGTGAAATAAATTCAACATAAAAGAGGGCCAAAATCAAACACATTCAGGAAACTCCAAGCGGAGGAGGTGGGTTTTTAGGCGACTCTTAAAGACTGGCAGAGATGGGGACAGCCTAACTGAGGGTGGCAACTGGTTCCAGAGTGACGGTGCTAGGACTGAGAAAGCCCGGTCCCCGCGAGTACGACACCTAGAACGAGGGACAGCGAGCAGGCCTTGGTCAGAGGAGCGCAGAGCGCGTGATGGGGAGTATTTATGTTTGTTTATTTAGCAGACGCTTTTATCCAAAGCGACTTAAAATTTATAACCTATAGGGCATGTTGTGATCTGTGGGGGAAACCAGAGTACCCGGAAGAAACCCACGCATGCATGGGGAGAATACGCAACTCCACACAGAAAGGCCGCAATCGAGTTTCGAACCTGCAACCTTCGTGCTGCGAGGCAACAGTGCTAACAACTGCGCCACCATGCATAATAGTGAGGACCAATTTTGTATTTTTATCCATAAAGTGAGGACATTTTGACCACATGGGGACATTTGGGTTTATCCTCACATGGTAACATTTTGTACTAGGAGGCCAATTTTTATCATTTTTATAGCTCTGCATCGGCTGATATACCTCCTTAGTAGAGGCGATTTAAAGTCAGGCACGTCCCCTGGCAGCCCAGTGCTGCCGCAGTATTTAATGTATATGTATATTTACGTTCCTGAATACCGCCTGCATAATAAATGCTCTAAAAACTATTTTCAACTAAAATAGATTTTATTTGCCTGTTTTGAATCTTTAATACTTGGTCAGTAATGACTCAGTCTCAGAACGTCTGTGCATCAACTGATGTTATTAGTGACATTTTAGGACACAAAGGAGGTGGAAACGTCTGGATATCGGCCATGAAAATCTGCAGCACTTGTCAGCTGCCAGCTGTCCGTCCGTGACCTCTGCATATTGGGATCTGCAACTGAAAAACCAGTATCGGCCCACCTCGATTAGGAATCATGCAGCCACTGAAGTGATCAATGATCAGTGAAAAGTCCTCAAAAACATAACAAGACAACACTGTGTGTGTGTGTGTGTGTGTGTGTGTGTGTGTGTGTGTGTGTGTGTGTGTGTGTGTGTGTGTGTGTGTGTGTGTGTGTGTGTGTGTGTGTGTGTGTGTGTGTGTGTGTGTGTGTGTGTGTGTGTGTGCTGATTACACTGCCTTCTTGATAATGTTTTGCCACAATGCTGCACGCTGTAATATTCTAATTACTGGATTAAAAAAAAAAGAAACAGTTTGCCATTTTTTAAATTCGTTAGTGTGATTTTGTAAAAGCTCAACATTTTGTTAAGTGGAGAATTTGTTCAGTCTCATGTCTGAAATGTCCTTTGAAAACAATAAATTTGACTTTTTTTAAGAACACAAACAACAAACACACTCTCTCTTAATCCAGATGTTCCACCCTAGATAAAAAGTGTATACAGGTCAGACTGAAAAGAGCAATAACCACTTTGCTCATCCTAAAACACAGCTTTAAAATCCTTTTCCTCATCCCTATAAGTTGGAGTATTTGTAGCAAAAGAAGGAATGCAATTGTTGTCAACCTCAATGCAACACAACGGTTGAGCATGCACAGCTCACCTCGCCCTTCCTTTGTCGACCCGTTTCACTCGAGTCACATGAGTCTTTCCACTTCATCCAGTGAAACGTACAGCAGATGGCCGTCTCTAAACATATGTGGCATAAACAATATCAGTGACTGCAACTTTAAAACATGCACGACTCCAACCAGAATTTACTATTGAACACAAACCCACATCCAGATGTTTCCACATGTGATCGCGGATATTCTCGCTGACCAAAAGGAATCCAAAACGAGGATTTATCCTCTCAAACCTGATTAGATACAACAGACTTGACGTGGACAATCACTCGCAGTAACTTCAGCCGCTAACAGCACGGATAAATAACTGAGCTGGTGAACAGCACCATGACATGTTCCGATGGGAGGAATCAAAGAAAAGTTACTTTAAAAAAGAAAGCATGTCTGTCATTTTGCTTTCTTTCATTTGCAGCTCAGCCTGACAAGCTGAAGCTTTGAGTTTAGCACACCTGAGAACAGCTCTGGCGCCCCCTAATGACCACACGATGAAGTGTTTCCACTTACTGACAGGATTTGTTATTGTCATTAGAAACTCTCCAGGATCCGGTTTCCCCAAGCCCATCACTTGTTAGATAAGTGGCGAATGGAAATCAGCCAGCATGTCGCTCCTCATCTCGACTCCTTCTGGGTAAAAGCCCTTTAAGAACCGCCGTGAAAGACGAGCTAGAGAGGTCGTGAAAACACACCAGAGAATCAAGGAGGGGTGTCTGAAAAGGGGCATAAAAGAGAGCGAGGTAGGCAGAGCGTTGCCAACAAGTAAAATTGAAACAACGTGAGCTCATTTTCCCAATAAGATGGGGCACAGAGCTGGAAAGGAGGGTAAAAATCAGCAACACGGACAAGAGGGGACGCAACAAAACAGAATGATGAGGTTGTTAGTGGTTTACAAACCAGATGAGACATTTTAACTAATTTGATTGTTTGTGAAAGAAATCATTCTGATCAAAACCCCAATTGCTGCCAACTGGCTGCCTGGTGTGTCTCTGGGTAATGCAGCCTGACGTGTCGGGGGAAGAGGAGAGGCTGCAGTGTGGAGGGGGAGGCGCACACAAAACTCGCCCTCTGACTTCAAACACGGGGAAGTGTAAAAACAGACCAATTCACCGGCTAAAACAACTAATGCCTGGATTTGAGGAAGTCTGCTAAGCGCCCTTGAGATAATACACACACACACACACACACACACACACACACACACACACACACACACACACACACACACACACACACACACACACACACACACACACACACACACACACACACACACAAACTTATGTGAGCATAAGTATCATAGCAGCTTATAGGAGATGTGATTAAAACAACTAAAACCATTTAAACTGAAGTTTCTATTCTTATTTTACCGAGAGAATTGGTAGAGGCTGTGTAGGTCGTCGAAAAGGAGACAGGACCTGGAAACGTGGTCGTCAACTGTCCTCTTCTCAAAAACTGGGAAGAGTAATTTACATAAATTGTTTTCCATCACACCCCTCCCTAAGGAACCTATGCTTAAAATCATGAATTCTCCTGCATCTCGCGCCCCCAAGTGGGACGCAGCCCTCTGATTGAGAAACACTAGCTTAAATGACGCCAAGCATGTGCAGCATCCTGCAGTGGAATTTACTGCAGAACATTTAGTACATTCATTCTAATCAAAGACTTCAAAACAACTAAAAATGAAATTTTAAATTTAATTTTACTTTAGTGGTGCAGTGGTTAGAGCTGTTGCCTTGCAGCGAGAAGGTCCTGGGTTCGCTTCCTGGCCTGGGATCTTTCTGCATGGAGTTTACATGTTCTCCCTGTGCATGCGTGGGTTCCCTCCGGGTACTCCGGCTTCCTCCCGCAGACCAAAACATGACTGTTAGGTTAACTGGTGTGTCTAAATTGTCCTTAGGTGTGTGTGTGTGTGTGTGTGTGCATGATTGTTTGTCCTGTGTGTCTCTGTGTTGCCCTGCGATGGACTAGCTCTCTGTCCAGGGTGTACCCCACCTGGTTGCCCGGTGACTGCTGGAGATACCCCCCGTGACCCTGCGTGGACACAGCGGGTTCAGAAAATGGATGGATGTAAAAATGAAGTCAAAACTACAAGTGCACCGACTGCAGTTTTAGGCTGATCACCAATCTTGAGATCTACCAGTTTCAACTGGACATGAGGTAATGTTCTCAAATATAAATGAACATATTTAGCATTGCTGTTTGAACTGCAAAATCACATTGTTCCTTTAGACCAGGGGTGTCCAATCCTGGTCCTGGAGGGCCGGTGTCCTGCATGTTTTTAGTTTGAACTCTGTTTCATCACACCTGATTTCAATCAGCAGCTAATTAACAGGCTTCTGCAGAGCCTGATGAGCTGCTGCACAGGTGTTTCAACCACTGAATCAAGTCTGTTGGAGCAGAAAAACCACAAAACCTGCTGGATACCGGCCCTCCAGGACCAGGATTGGGGACCCCTGCTTTAGACTTTCATTTTTCTAATTTTGAAAACAAAAGTTTTGTACCGGTTTTGACACACTTGTACCAAAAAATTACTCTATAGCAATGATTTGCTTTAACAATAACTAGGAGTGCATCGATTGCAATTTCTGGCCAATCACCGATCATGAAAAAAACCTGAGATCGAGGCTGATAGATGGGTGCACCCATAGTCAAAACGTCTTACTGCTTTAAAAACAATCAGAATGGCATTTCAACAACTATGTGGTGGCAAAAGATTTGAAACTAAATTTGAAACTGAAGAAAATATACATGTAATTTAATCTTTATAGCAAGTTGTTACAATAAAGAATATATTATTTTTTTTATTATTTTTCCTGATGCACCAGTGCATTTTAGGAAGTGAAAAAGTTGCTTCCTATGTTTCTATTATGAGTTTTCACAAGCTATTAGTCCAACACAATCTCTGAAACAATCAAAAGCACAAGTTGAGTGTCATTTTTCTGTTTTGCATTTTTGGCTTTAACACAACAACAAAGTAAAGTCAGCGATTTTCAATAAAAGCTCAGATTTCAAACTCTTAACTGTTCTTAATTTCTGTTTCTACACACATACATGAAGTGGTAACACATAAAATACCTGGTTAAATGTTTTAAAGTGAAGCTCCTTGAAGATGGCATCGCGATCCTCCACCTCCATCCATCCTGTGGCCCTGAGTTCCATCACCAGCTGATCCCGGTCTGCAGGGCTGAGCCAGTGGGAATCTGATGACTGGACACAAAAAAAATCCTCATTAATTAGCATCAGATATATTAGACAATTATGATTGTAGTGATGCACCATTGGCACTGGTTATTTGTGCTTTTTTGCAACTTTTTTCTAAAATGTATTTGTTGTTTTTGCAGTTGAAATGCAAAATTTAACATCTGTTTGGTGAGAAAATTGTTACAAGTTTAAGACTTGGAAACCAAAGGAAACAGAAGGAATAAGCAAATTAAAAAATGTTCTCAAAACTGAAGGGTCAAATAAAACAGATGGCCTAGAAGCTATGACAATAAGAAACAGTAAATGAAACTGACTAAAATGGCAGAAAGCAGAAGGGGTTTGAAGTCTGTTTGTTCGCTTTGTTTATTTTGATGAGCAACAAACGGATTTCAATATAAAGATCACTACATTTTTGTCAGTGTAAATATTTACTGCCAATCTGTTCTTGGAGGGATTCCCACATTAGCTACATGGATGCTATTCGTCATCCATCCAAAAGGTGGCAGTGTTGCATTGAAATGACCCATATTTACACCGTTGATACTTGTTTACAAATACTTCAGTTAAAGTCAAACTAGCTTTATATTTATGCTTTAGTCTTTAGAATACAAAAATCCTAATATTAGAATATTTAAACACCAAAGTTTATTTTTCTTAACTTATAGTTAATCAACAACTCGGTTGGAGCTAAAATTCAGACTTGATTAAAAGTAAAACGGGCAAAACTGGATCTGACAACGATAAGACGTGATTATTTTAAACATAACGTTAAAAAATAATGATTTCCTAATTTCTTGTAATAATAGCCTAAATGTCGGTAACTCCTGTACTCTTTTTTCCTTGACACATTTTCGTATAAAACACCGAAAACCCCACGTAGAAAACCGACCTGGGGTAAGGAAGCTAAAACACGCTACTGCTAAAAGCACCGCAGAACTCACCATTTTACACGAGCTGTTCCGGAGTAGCAGAGGTTTTCTCAGGCTGGTTGGTAGGTTGCAGGGCCATGACGCACTCGTCCTCTGGATAAACATTAACCCGAACATAACCAGAGGTTTTTTCAGCCTTTTTCCAAAGCCTGTTCTGCTGTGTTTTGTTCGTCCTACTCGGTCTTATCGCGTTATAGCTGTTTATTTTGCTGCCTGATTAAAATACCCATATCACATATGACCCTGCCAGTAAAGAAAAAGAAATCAGTTCACTGATTATCAAAACGAGTACAAATCAATCTAAAGTCTGATTTAATCTGATAAAGTATTTTAATAAGAAACAAATGCGCACTATACGTTTTATAGACTTAAGCTATTATAATTTGTGACAGTTTGTTTTTTTAAACGTAGATTATAAATAAATTAGTTTACATTAATACCTCAAACACATAACTATTTTATTTTTGTTAAATGATTCAATCAAGTGGGTTAGATAATGTGTAAAATGTTATTCAGTTCTTACTACATGTGATCATCTTCTGTACTTGGAACTTCAAGACTATTGCTTGCCAAAAAAAAAGCTACAGTCATGCAAGGATACAGTTTTTACTTCCAACACCCAATAAATGTATGCCCAAAACAACAACATGGCAACATTTTAAATACGTCACTGAATGCAAACCATATATCGATGGTGCAAACACATAAAGGAGTTTGGTTAGTGAGGAGGGACTTCGCCCCCTGTAACAATGATTGGAAATGCTCCTGTCAATAATCTTGGGTACACTTGTGGAAGAATCATGGGGAAAAACAATAGAAGCTATGTAAAATATGCAAACAGAAGAAGTGTTTGTGTGCAAGCACTACTGGAAACAGTTCTTTAAGAAGACCTGTGGCTTTATATGTGATCATGCTTCAGATTCTGAATTTTCCCCTTCGATAAAATCTTCAAATACATAACGTACATGTTTTTTGTAATATGTCAAATAGTAATTGATATAATAAAATTTTGAAAGTGAACATCACGATCAATGCAACCTGATCAACTTTGAGATAGAATTGTCAATATTTCTTAACTCACCATAAACAAGTTTATTATTTAAAAGAGAGGGTATGCTACATTTTAGAGTACAATAGTCCATTTTGATGCTGTGACTTTAATTCAGTCTTTAATTTGCAAACAATGAACATGAATTAACTTAGTTTGAATCTTGAAACCTGGTTACACTTCTTGTATATGTGACATGATCAATTTTAATCACATAAATGAATATATTTTCATTTTCCTCACTGGGCTGATTTGGGCCTCTAACATGAGAAATGATCGCAAATAATATTTCATATTTATTATGTAAAACTGTGCAACAGTCTGTAGAAATATCAGAAAATTTCTCGTAATTACTCGGTTTTGCATATCTATCACGTGTGGAAAAATCCAGAGACGTCTAGAACTACAGAAGTCTCGCGATAATGAACAAGAAGAGCGCGAGAAGTCGGATAGGACCACCTTGCTGCTGCTGAAACCTCCTAGCTGGAGTCAGAAACGCCGGTAAAAGCGGTGTGGATTATGAAAAAAAAGTAGTTGTACTTAAAACTGGGTCAGAACGAGTAACATTTATACTGTTTTGGCAGTGGTTATACATTTGCTTTGTTTTTAGTCTCATTGTGGGCGGCCTTAAAATAGAAGACAGAAGATGTCAGTGGTGGGATTTGACTTGGGCTTTCAAAGCTGCTATGTAGCTGTAGCCCGTGCTGGAGGGATTGAGACCGTCGCTAATGAGTACAGCGATAGGTGTACACCGTAAGTACCGAAAGTACTGTTTCTGTCTCTGTGTGCTGTAGTGAAATTGGCGTCGTTTTTCTGTTGTCTGTGTTGTCACTGTAATTCACGTGAGTGCAGATTTACCAAATAGCAGCTTACTCTAACTTTAATGGTCGTTATGGTAGTTTCTCAAACTTTATTGTGAGTTTATTTAATGATACGTTTGTATATATTGTTCCCAACATGGATAAATTGCATATCTCAATTTTTAAACAAATTTTCTGAGCGTTAGCGAGCTAGCCTGTTAGCTAAGATCTGTCTTATTAACGGTACGGAGTGGTTTGAAAGGCTTGTTTGAGCCGCCCGAGGCACCTTAAGACGGGCGGTGTTTCCATATGTCGTTAGAATTACAGTTGTACATTAGCTCCGATCAGCCGGTGTGTCCCGTGTGACTAAACGTTCGTCCTTCCGCACGATGACGACAGCATCCGCGTTGTAGTGGAATATTCTAGTAAATTTTAGTCCCTTAAAGAAAATAATAATACTCTAAAAATCGATTTAACAAATTTCATGTTTTGTAAAAAATAGAACTTCCTCTCAGATCAAGACTTGTATCAGTTATTGGCTCTTTTGAGAGCAGTTGTAGCTAAGTGTTTATTTAATTTAGGTTAATTTAGTCTCTCGTAGTCCTTAAATTATACCATGTTGTAACATTAGGAAGATACATTTGTCTTAATTTTATCCGCAGTTATAAAAAATGATTCATGTTCGCTCAAACTGCTTTAATGTTTTTTTTTTCAGGTCATTTGTATCATTTGGACCAAGAAATCGATCTATTGGAGCTGCAGCAAAAAACCAGGTAACTTCAACAAACATATTTTAAACTTAAAACAGTAATCATATAATTCTAAGTTGTTGTAATTATCTACATTTGCTTTATTAATGTTCCCAGGTGGTGACCAACTATAAAAACACAGTCCAGGGCTTCAAGCGCTTCCATGGCAGAGCATTCTCAGACCCTTATGTTCAGTCTACCAAGTCCAAGTTGGCGTACGACCTGGCACCAATACCCTCTGGATCCACCGGCATAAAAGTGAGGTTCCATTTCTTAACATTGTTTTGATGAGCAAGGTCATATCCTGTTTTTGAAACCGTACCTGTTGAGATCTTGTTCAGATAATGACAGTGAAAGTTGGTGTCAGATAAGACTGCATTCACCTTAAATTTTGTGATTGAAAGAATAACTGGATCTTTCTCAAACTTGTCCTTTTTAAGGTGATGTACATGGAGGAAGAGAAGGTATTCAGCGTGGAGCAGGTTACTGGCATGCTGTTAAGCAAACTGAAGGAAACTGCTGAAAGTGCACTGAAAAAACCCGTTGTTGACTGTGTCATCTCAGTAAGTTTAAGCCACATCATCCAGAGATCCCGAACATTTGAAGTAAAACATTTCTTGACGTATGTGATACATAATAAAGGCTTATATTTAACTTTTCAATAAAAACTTTTATCCACTCCAGGTTCCAAGCTATTTCACTGATTCAGAGAGGAGATCTTTGATGGATGCAGCCCAGATTGCAGGCCTTAACTGTCTACGATTGATGAATGAGACCACTGCAGGTACTTAGAAACTCCAACTCTGTGACAGACTCCACTTCTGAAAAAATTTCCCAGTTTTGGTCTTTTAAAAAACACAATAATTTTCCAGCTTCTCCCTCGTATTGGTTGAAGGCTGAATTTCAACAGTTATAAACAATCCTGCCATAGTCTGCTATAACTAGTGCTAACAATGAGCTAATGCTAACACAATCCAACTGATGTAAAATAAGCCACTAATTAAAAAGATCCAAACTTCTGGACAAAAAAATTGTTACTTACAAGTCCAGGAGCAATTATTCCAGGTCACCATCAGTCTGAGATTGTAGCCTCCTTCAGCTCCCTCATACTAGTATGTGCTGCACCGATGTTCATTCTGGTTTTAGCGCTCTGCTTCACCTCCAAAAAAACTGCTATCTTACTCCTAGGCTTTGTCACAATACCAACAATAAAGCAAATTTCTTATCGTGCTTTTTATTACCTGTTGGCAAAACTGAAAAAGCTAACTTCTAGCCTTTAGCTACCAGCACAGTAAACGGCTATTACCATAAAGCAGAGAGAGACCTCTCGCTAGTGTTACTACCCAAAGAAATGAACTGTATCTGGTCAGCAGAGAGCCACAGAGAGCCCATTTGAAGTTGTTCAAGAAACACTGAAACCTATTTGAAAGCAGTAGCTTAAAGCGTTAAAAACTAGTGTGGCTTTCAGTTTTTTACGAAGAGTTAAATCAGTTGCTTTGAAAGAAAATCCAGATGACACTCAACACAAGAGATACTTTTAAATCGGAACCGTTTTTATTTGTGTTTGAACTGAAGCTATAAACCTATGCAAATCATATTAGATGTAAAACACACTTGTAGATGTGTGCTTCAGCTCTGCTTTGTTACCTGGATTCGAATTGAATCAGCATATTCAGGGGAAGTGAACTAGGTTATGATTTACTCAGCATTTATTCTCAAATTTTTATCAGGTATTAACATATCTATAACTTTAAAATGAGGAGAAAAGAAGGAAAGCCATGACCTCCCATGTTTTCCTGCTTTGTCACAGTAAGTCTGGCGTATGGAATCTACAAGCAGGACCTCCCAGCACCAGAAGAGAAGCCCAGGATAGTGGTGTTTGTGGACCTGGGCCACTCTGGGTACCAAGTGTCTGTTTGTGCCTTTAACAAGGGAAAGCTTAAGGTGAGTGATAAACGATTTGTGGTTTGTCGGTGCGTTAAATATATGTTTATGTTGTAATTTACATGAGTGTTTGTGAATATTTTAGAATTGTGCTACAAATTACACCTTTTTTCAGTAATATGAATTTCACAAGTAGAGTTTAAAAAGTAAATTTCTGGGGGAAAGCCAGTTATATGTTCTGTTTCACAGGTGTCCATCACTTAAATACAGATGTGGTATTTTTTCCCCACAAGGTCCTGGCGACAGCTTTTGACTCAGACCTCGGCGGGAAGGACTTTGACGACATCCTGGTAAACCACTTCTGTGAAGAGTTTGCCAAGAAGTACAAACTTGATGTTAGGTCCAAGCCTCGAGCGTTGGTGCGGCTCTACCAGGAGTGTGAGAAGCTGAAGAAGCTGATGAGTGCCAACTCCTCTGATCTGCCCCTCAACATCGAGTGTTTCATGAACGATATTGATGTTTCTGGTAAACTGAACAGGTGAGAAAAATATTTTAAGATAATTATCAGATCAGAACCCTGGAATACAAATTGTGTGTGTGTGTGGGGGGGGGGGGGCTGAGCTGTATACATTAATATTGTGTGATTCTGTTTTCAGAGGTCAGTTTGAAGAGATGTGTGCCGAGCTGCTGGCCAAAGTCGAGGGCCCCCTTCGCAGCGTCATGGAACAAGCCAGTGAGTCCCTCATCAGCAACTGCTCCTGCAGCACTGTGTCTCTTCACACCAACGAGCCTGCTTATGGTCTTTTTTTGTACCCAGAGCTGAAAAAGGAAGATATATACGCAGTGGAGATTGTGGGCGGAGCCTCCAGGATTCCTGCCGTTAAAGAGCGAATCAGTAAATTCTTTGGCAAAGAGCTGAGCACCACTTTGAATGCAGACGAGGCCGTCGCTAGAGGCTGTGCTCTGCAGGTACCGCTCACCAACACCAGAGGTCAATAGAGGCCGATGTGTAGAGGTCACGGTCAGATGATGATGATGTTTTCCATCTTATTTGCTAAAATGTCACTGATAACATCAGTTGATGCACAAAACTTCTGAAGCTAATCTATTATGGGATGTAATAATATGAATAATGATGAATGTGAAGTTTTTGTTATTTATTAGTTTAAATAACATTTTACGATGAAGGTTAGCTTCACTGTTTGTTTGTTTGTTTTTGTCAGTGTGCGATCTTGTCACCAGCGTTCAAAGTGAGGGAGTTCTCCATCACAGACATCGTCCCCTACTCCATTTCCCTCAAATGGAATTCGGCTGCAGAGGAGGGACTCAGGTGCGATTGCTGTCTTTGTCAAAGCAGCTGAATAAAGTCCCGTCTTCTAATTTATTTTGTGCCAAAAGTCAACTTTTAATCGTCTCTAGTCTGTTGTTTAATTCCTTACATCTCATTTCAGATGTCTGTTTCCTGCATCGATTTTTCCCAAATTAATTTTGATCCCACTGAGTTTAAATGTGTACCGCTCAGATCCACGCCTCCTAGTTTACAGAACCTTTTCAGAATAAGGATGACTTGTAATCTCTGTTACATGCTTTCATCTTAAAGATGATTCAAGTGTGTCGAGTTAACTGTTGCCTGGGAGCAGATTGGTGTGTAGGTTGATGGTTGAGTGGGTTGTCGTCCACGATGGCTGTAATAGGCTGCAGTGTCTTTAGTCTGTTCTCGTGGCGACCGTCTGTCTCATTTCACATCCCGTCTGTCTCTCTTTGTTGTGTTTCAGTGATTGTGAGGTTTTCTCCAAAAACCACGCAGCTCCCTTCTCAAAAGTGCTGACTTTCTACCGGAAAGAGCCGTTCACCCTCGAAGCTTACTACGATAATCCCAAAGAGTTACCTTACCCCAACGCCACCATAGGTACTGCAAATATGAGGACAACAAGCAGAACCTATTTTACTATTAAAGCTCTTGAGAACCTGTTTTTGTTGTCATATTCTCTAAATAAAATATAACTTAAAATGGAAAAAAATGGTGATGAAAATTAGGTTTGCAGTTTAGAATGAAGCCAGAACATCAGTTCGTTCCCATGAATCGTGCTTGTGCCATCGACTCCATCTCGTTTTCCTGCAGGTCAGTTCCTGGTTCAGAATGTGGTTCCTCAGGCGTCAGGAGAAAGTGCCAAAGTTAAGGTCAAAGTGCGCGTCAATGTTCATGGTGTGTTCAGCGTGTCGAGCGCGTCCCTGGTGGAGGTTGTGAAGCTAGCTGAAGGGGAGGAGCCGATGGAAACGGACCAAAACCTGATCGTGAAGGAAGAGGAGGTGTGTGTGTGTGTGAACAGGAACATTCTTTGCTTCAGATTTATAATTCCAACCTTGTGTTTGTATTATTTTGTTGTAGTAAACAGTAGATGGCTAATAACATCTACATTCCAATTGAATCCTCTATTTTCCCCACTTTTATCTTGTGTTTGTGGATAAAAACTAAAGATGTGTGCATCATTTTAGAGAACAGCCTTTTGATGATTGACAGGATGTCACAGATGTGGTTTACCAGCACCTTAAATCTTACCTGATCAGATAAAACCACAAAGCAACATGTGTCACCTTAATATAACATCTGTGTATGTTTCTTTCATCACTGTATCAGAACAAAATGCAGGTGGACCAGGAAGATCAAAAACTTGCTGCTGGAGAGAATGAAGACAAGAAAACAGAGGCTGAAGAAATGGAGGTAACCTTGTGCTGGGCGATATGTTGGTATGCGTTCACCCTGAGATGGACTCGGAGCTAAAGGGAAACGGTTTTGCTGCCAGTGTTCAAGGACGGGATGTCTGATTACCTGTTTGTAGACATCTATTTGAGGAAACACCTCTACCCCTTTCATTAATTACTTGATTTATTTCATTTTTAGGCATATCGCCCTGCACTCGGTGACCCACCTTACCTTGACTCCTAATGTTGGAGTTGCTTTGTACTGGGCGATTAGCATAAGTCATAATAATAGTTAATCTCACGCTGTTTGCTTCTGTCTATGATCTATGAAAGTGAAAGCCCCACCCTCTCCTGTCATGTATTGTTGACATTGCTAACCCTGCCCCCGTCCCGTAGAGCTCCATACAATTTAAATTGTGCGCTGCTTAGCATTAGCCGATAGCTTTAGCCATCTGCTTACATATAGATGTCAATCACGAAGCCTGCGCGGGTGTTTGAAGACAATGCAGAGTTGGATACATTTCTGGACATTTAAGTCTGTAAAATCTCTATATATGAATAACCAGCACAACATGAGAATTATAATTGTAAAACAACGTTTTAGCTCTCTTGGCCCGCTAGAAGTTTGTTTTCTTAAGCGAGAGGCGTTGCTTCCAGCTGTAATCGCAGAAGTAGGGAGATGGGCTTAAAGGTGCAATTAGTGTTCCTGCCTCTAGATCTGGAGACAAAACTCCAGATTTCTGCTTTGAGGGCTTCTATCTGTAACTGTTCCCTCAACCTGAAGAAATATGACTCTTAGCTTTTAGTCCAAAACAGAGCTGCAGTTTAAAAGAGGCTCAGAAAGTGAGTTCTTTAATCAGAGGTCTAAAACTGGTTGTTCCTCGTCAAGGAAGAAACAAACACACACATTTTTATAAGCTTCTATTGAAACCCGGCTATTTTCCCCCAATTAATGTTAGAATCTTTAAAAAAAAATAAAACTAATAAAACTTACATATTCACTTGAAAATACATGAGAAACTATTAAAAGTGACTTTGTGGTCAAAGGTAGGAATTAAAACGTTTGACATCATCAGGTTTTTACACGGCGAACTCACAAACATCTGTCCAACTCAACTGAAAGTACACAAACACATTTAAAAGAAAACTGTTCTTCTCAGACCTCGACGGAGGATGCGAAGGAGGAAAAGAAGCACGACCAACCTCCTCAGGCAAAGAAGGCCAAAGTGAAGACGAAGACGGTGGATCTGCCCATCGAGAGCAAACTGCAGGGGCAGCTGTCCAGCGATGAGCTCAATACGTTTGTGGAGAATGAGGTAATGCTCTAGAAATGTGCGTCTCGCTGGTTGCAGGTCGTTTAGTTTTCCCCCTTTTCCCCAGACGAACAGTCCGGGATCGCTGGTGTTGGTTACGTGTTAGAAAAAGGGCAGCTTGTTCAGATGTATTCTGTTTTCCTGAACTTACATCAGTGTTTTGTTGTCTTTTAATAGAATTATGTACATAAATGGTGTGGTAACTGAACTAAAGCTGATTTTCACACCGATCTAACGTCCATCACAACTCTTACAGGGGAAGATGATCATGCAGGACAAGCTGGAAAAGGAGCGAAACGACGCAAAGAACAATGTGGAAGAGTACGTGTACGACATGAGGGACAAGCTGCACGGAGTCCTGGAGAAGTTTGTGAATGAAGCGGTGAGTCACTCGGCATAAAAGCATGCTTTTATATTTAGATATTATATTTCACTGATTTGGCTTATTGGGGTATTCTTCAGGATCGGGATGCGTTCTCGTTGAAACTGGAAGACACTGAGACCTGGCTGTATGAAGATGGAGAAGACCAGCAGAAACAAGTTTATATCGACAAACTGGCTGAGCTGAAGGTGGGCGTCTGTCAGAAATGACGTTTAAGAAAAGACTTTTTAAATAGTAAATAAACAATGGTGACAAGACGTACTGTTCTCTACAGAACATCGGTCAGCCCATTTACGAGCGACACGTGGAAGCTGAGGAGAGGCCAAAAGCGTTCGAGGAGCTTGGCAGACAGATCCAGAAGTACATGAAGATTGTAGAAGCTTACAAGGCAAAGGTAATGTGGGACGGGGTCCGCTCTGATTCTTCATCATTCATAGGTGAAAGCAGAAGGATGTTAGAGGTTTTCTTATCGATCCACCAACAGAATGAGCAGTACGATCACCTGGACGAGCTGGAGGTGACTCGGGTCGACAAGCAGGTCACTGATACCATTGCCTGGATGAGCGTTAAGATAAACCAGCAGAACAGTCAGGACCTCACCTCAGACCCGGTGGTCAAAGTTGGAGAGATCCAGGCTAAGACTAAGGTACTTCCTAAGCACATTTTTAACACTCCTATCAACATTTCCGCTACATTTTATGTGCAGGAAACCGTTTATAACTTTTTGATCCTTCTTTGAACACAACCTTTTAGGAGCTTTATTCATCCTGTAATCCAGTAGTGTCCAAGCCCAAACCCAAAGTGGAGCTTCCTAAGGAGGAGAAGACTGAGAACGGGCCGGTCAACGGGCAGGAGGTACCAGAAAACCAACCATGCAACGCAGACAAAGCTGATTCTTCGGGCACGGAGCAGGGGACGACGGACAGCAAGCTCCCTGAAATGGACATCGACTGAGCGTAGAGTTTCTCTTTAGTAACGACAGCTGCCTCTGTTATCAGTGCTATGTATCAGGCCACCTCTGCGGCGTGTCTTTTCCAGTCTTTGTGGAATAAAATAATGCTTCTTAATAATATGGAATGGACTACTTTAAAACTTGAAAACGAGGGCTAGAGACTGCTTTCTGTGCTGCTGGGATGGCTGTCGAGTTCAAGCGTTGAAGAACTGAGCAAAATGGCGCTTTATGAGATGGTAGATGAAAACTAAACTATTGTGTTTCTAAAGACATAGGTGCAGCAGCGGTGGGGGGCTGTTTCAGTTGTAAACGTATTTTTGTTTCACCACACACACACACACACACACTTGTAATTGTTGGATCTGTTTTAAAGAGAAAGTGAATGTTATGTTCCTCTAATGTTCTACTGTATGTGAAGACTAAACGCATTTTACTGTTGTGCATTATTTCATTGTTCTGCTTCTCTCATTTCAAAAGCAATGCTTTGTTCTATGGTAGATTTGGGTTGTTCTTTATTTTCTACTCAACATTGCAACTCCTGGTTCAACAAGTCACCTTTTTGGGTGCTGCTGTTACCGTGTCATGGACAAAAGTAAAAATAAATCTTGAGGGAAGTTTTGTCTGTCGGAGACTTAATTATTAAACTTTTTCTGCGTTAAGTTTTCAAAATGGGGCTTAATATCTGCAAACACTTCCTGATCTGTAAATGTAATTGATGAGAAATTCAAATGAGAAACAAGATCAGGACACATCTAAGTTCCTCTGATTTATGGGTGTGTGTGTCCACACTACACAACTCAAGAACGATTGAATCTTTGGGTGACAGTGGCTCAGAGGCTGGGTGCTTGGCTCCTTTCATATCAGTCATTTTCTTAGGCGAGACATCACTCTCCATGCTTGCTGTTGGTGATCGGAGGACCGGCGGCGTCCCCAGAGCACCTGTGGCTACATTGGACCTCAACGCCAACAGTGTTTGTGTTGCTATGATTCAGTTTGCCCAGTAAGTGTGGAGGCAGAGCTCCAGTCTTTGATCTGCTGCACTCATAAACTCAGCCTCACACACGGACAGCAATAACCTAACATCAGTGTGATCTTGTCTAAAATGGAGCTGAATTGTTATAATTAATCAAACATAAAAAAACTACACTTGTTGGAAAAACTAACAACAGTGTGTGAATCTCCAGTACTTACTCAGTGTTCGCAATGATTACTCAGCAGAGTTGATGTTGCTTTAGTTATCAGCCTTGTGATGAATAGCAGTAAAGTTTGCACCACTGCTAAGACATTTCTCCAAACAATTAGCATAAAGTACAAAACACGGTAGATAACCTGCAAAAGCAAGTCAGTCGCTCAAAATGGGCTCATTCTTCAAAAGCGAGTTCCTTCATCAAAATGGATCATTTGTTCTTCAAAGCAAGTATTTATGTCAATGACAGTGTCGGTGTCGTCACAATGAAAAGTTATGACAGCAGCATCTTTGAACTATCAAGTCAAACGGTTTGAACACGTTTTCATTGTGACATGACTCTGGAAGTGCTCCCCAAAGTCATGTAGAGTCAAATCAGCGTTGTATAGGATGCATGGCATTTAGAAAACTAGAATTAAATCAAAATCAGCACAATGAATATGCACTTTATACTGTACATTTGCTACTGTTCACAGCATTTGGAAAAACAACATTTACAACAAATATAAACTCCCTTTGGCTCAGTAAACCTTACTGCAGTAGTTTTAAATCTAAAAATCCTGTAAAACAGATGGTGCTGCAAATCAGACATGGACAACTAGACGCTCCCGTTAGTCTGGCCACATATTTTCATCTACATCACAGCAAATATCAGCTCTGTCAACGCACAGAGGGAAGTATCTTCCTGAATCCACGCTCTGCATGACTCTGCTGTGATGTCATCACAAGCTGCATCCATGGCTGGTAGCAGGGTCACCGGGTATGTGGACGCTGACCATACACCTTCCACCTCCAGGAAGAGAAAAACTCCTCAGTTGGATTTAGGAACTGAGAGTAGGGGGAAGATAATAAATATGATAACAATTCTGCTCCATTTTAGACAAGATCACACTGATGTTGGGTTATTGCTGTCAGTGTGTGAGGCTGAGTTTATGAATGCAGCAGATCAGAGACTGGAGCTCTGCCTCCACTTACTGAGCAAGCTGAATCAAAGCAACACACACACACACACACACACACACACACACACACACACACACACACACACACACACACACACACACACACACACACACACACACACACACACACACACACACACACACACACACACACACACACACACACACACACACACACAGACAAATCAGAGGAGTTTAGATGTGTCCTGACCGGGATTTGAACCCCAATCTCAGTCCCAGGGCGGCCACTCTACCACTTATGAAGCCACCAATATTTTTCAACAAATGGGCATCATTTAATTCATTTTCAACAACATTTCAATGAATGAGATTAATTTTAAAAACTACATATTGTCTCTTTAATAGATAATGATAATCAGAACAGTAACTTTATCTAACTGGCTACTCCCACATATGGGCTTTCTTTCTTTTTTTGTGATTTTTGCTACCACACGAACGTTCCCGTCAGAGAGATGTAGAGAGAAGTTTAGTTTTCCCGCTTTCACTGCAATAATTCGCAGTGGCACAATATCTCCACTAGGGGGCGCTGTCAGTGGATTCGCATACCAATATTCACCGGCAGAGAAGGCGGTGTTTGGATGTGTCTCGGATGTAGCCGGATTGAGTGCCGGGCTGTGTGTAAGGAGTTGACGTCGTGACTCGTCATGACAGGAACCAATCAGGGCAAATGTCACTTGTGCACTTGGGACAGAAAAGGTAATAAAATGAAATAAATTTTCAACATTTGTTGTACATGTCTTGATGTTGTTTGTGTTATTGTATCTTAATCACACAACAGAAAGAAAAGTTAAAAATGTGTTGCTACCACAGAGCTACTGTTTACATCAGCTAGCTGTTAGCTAGCTACAAATACCGGTGTTCTTTACCCTCGTTAGGCAATCAACCGAGTTTGTTAGCTGCTTCCATCTTTAGACATGTTATGTATTTAATCGATGCTGGTTTATAATCTAGCAACCATGGCGTCTGGCATGGTAAAAGTGGTGGTTTATATTGTGTTGGGTGCTAACTTATAAGCTACAACTTAGCTTAGCATTAGCTAAGTTCCTACAAAGTATAAATATTTGCGCATTTAATTATAAATTAGCTCCATCTGGTTATTTAATTTTGATGTCTTTAGGAAAGTTTTGAAATGTTTAATTCAGTCGACACACAAACGCGTTAGTTTGTGTTTTTCTTCACTAAGTGGTATAGTGTTAGCAGTAGTAGTACTCGTATTTGTTTTTGTTGTAAATTTTAGATGTTGTTGTTGTTCCAGGAATGTAAATGTCTGAGGATAAGGAAGCTCAGGAGGATGAGCTGCTTGCATTAGCAAGTATCTATGATGAGGAGGAGTTCCGCCGTGCGGAGTCTGCACAAGGAGGAGAGATCCAACTCTGTCTGGAGCTTCCTCCTGGTTTTAAAGTTCTTGTAAAAGGTATCGGTGATCAAGATGTGCAACTGGTGCACAGCTTCCCTACAGGCTGTGCATTTAGATTCACTACTCTGCTTTAGCCTCCCTTTTTCTTTGTTGCAGGCGAGAAGACAACTGAACACAATGTGTGTTTCTTACCTCCTTTGGTGCTCAATTTTGAGCTTCCTTCAGATTACCCTTCCACACGTCCACCATCCTTCACTCTCAGCTCTAAATGGATGACCAAATCCCAGGTAAGAGTCGTACTAACTCATCCAGGCCTTTTGTAAATGCCACATCTAGCATCTTCCTCTGGCATCCTCTTCAATTCTTCCTCTGCTCTTTGATTCTTCCAGCTGAGCTCCCTATGCCGACATCTGGATGAGTTGTGGGAGGAAAACCAGGGATCAGAGATTCTTTTCACATGGATCCAGTTTCTCAAAGAGGAGCCCCTAGAATTTCTGGGCATCCAGTCTCCCGTGGAAGTCATCAGGAACAGCAAGGCTGCTGGCGAACGAAGAAAAACTGACCTTGCAAGCAAAGGTATGATGAGGCATTTTACCAAAGCTTGCTAGTAGAAAATGTGGTTTAACACTGCAATTGCTGTTATTGTTTTTCAAATAAATTCTGTATTTTATTATTGTAAGTACTTCTCATGCCCTCTTTTGGCTTTCATTCCTGACAAAATTAGGTTGCATCATAATACTTTCCATCAGAACATCTCTTTTCTTACCCAGGTGTCTCTTCACACCACTGTTAACTTTTCAAATCCTTGAATGCACATTGGAACTTCTCTTTTTGGTCTTTTCTCCTTCAGAGAAACCAGAGGAGAAGAAAACAGAAGTAATAAAGGAGACATCTGAGCAGCACGGTTCACTGTTGTCTCATCCAGACCAGCGAGCTGTCGTGTTGATGGACCCTCATTCCGACCCCCTACGTCAGCTCCTGGACTTTGACGAAACTCAGAGACAACGGGTGTTTGACGGAAAGGTGTTCAGCTGCGGGATCTGCTTCGCGGATAAGCTGGGCTCCACCTGCCTCTGCTTTAAGGAGTGCCTGCACGTTTACTGCAAGGACTGCATGAGAGAATACTTTGAGATTCAAATACGAGAAGGCAATGTTCAGTGCCTTAACTGCCCCGAGCCCAAATGCACGTCAGTCGCTACGCCATCACAGGTCAGGCACTTCTACAGGAATGTGGCTTTTAACAAGTTCAGCTTCAGCCCAACCGTATTGATAATTGTGTTGTTTTCTACTTTATCTGCCCTGATCTCATCTCTCAGGTGAAACAGCTGGTAGACGAGGAGCTGTTTGCCCGCTACGACCGTCTGCTGCTCCAGTCCACTTTGGACCTCATGGCTGATGTGGTCTACTGTCCCCGCCGTTCGTGTGGAACTGCTGTAATGGTGGAACCAGACACAACAATGGGCATTTGCTCAGCTTGCCAGTATGCTTTTTGCACGTTGTGTAAGCTGGGCTATCACGGTGTCTCTCACTGCAAAATCACTGCAGGTAACGGCTCAGACAAACTCTCAGAAGCTCATAAGGAGTAAGGAAATGGTTTCACTTGCTACGTTTTCTTTCTGCCTTGTTCCCCAGATGACCTGCGCAGCCTGAGAGATGAGTACCTGTCAGCCACGCCTGAGGGGAAGAAGTTCATGGAGCAGCGTTTTGGGAAACAGGTGGTGCAGAAAGCGGTGGAGGAATCTTTTAGCCGGGATTGGCTGAAGGAGAACTGTAAATGCTGTCCTAACTGTGGAACAAACATTCAGGTAGACCAGCGCCCCCTAATGGAGAAACTAAAGCTCATATTTAGAAACACCAGGGCTCACCCCAAAATCCCACTACCTCCGCTCCGCTCCGCCCCCGCCTTCCGCAGCCGCTCGCTTCCGAACTCAATTTTTACTGGTACCCGCTCTACTCCGGTGCGGAGACCTGAGGTGCGCAGACAGGCATGCATGGGATTTTCGAGATCTTGCGATGCAGTCCGAGCAATAAACGCGGAAATTAGATCCAAACACCCGTTGTGTGGGAGAAGCATCGAAATGAACTGTTTAATCTGCCCATCATTTGTGTTGAGAGATCAGCAGTGTTTGGATCAACAAAGTGTGACTACTTTGATAGTGGAAACTGTATTTATGGCTTACTTTTGTGCATTTAAAGTTCAACCGCCATTGATAGTTGTTAAAAGTTGTTAAACCTGTGCATATGAAACAAAAAACACTTTTTGTTTATCGATTTATTGTGAAATAACGGAAGCTGTGTTTGCTCCCTTTCCTGTTGGGCGGTTGTGATTTCTGTCCATTGACTGCGGAGGTGCTCCGGCGTCCGGCAAAAATAGAATCGATCCTATTTTTGCCGGATGGCGGAACGGCGGGCGGCTGCGCCGCACGGCCGCAGTAGTGGAACAGCTCTGAATTACTACAACGGGACCGATTTTGCTGCGGAGTTCGTGCCAGAGCGGAGGTAGTGGAATTTTGGTGTCAGCGTTCACCATCGGTAACACATTTTAATGTGGAACGGAGAAATCTGTTAACCAAGTTTGATGCAAAACATGGATGCTCCAATATCGGGTTCGTTTTCAAACCGAGTACAAGTACTTATGTTTGGGTACTCGTCTATACCAAGTGCTGATAAATGCCATTACTACACCTAAAATTAACTTATACTGTAGTTTATTTTCATTAGGCTCATTAAACATAAATAAAGTGTGTTTAACTAGTGTAAAGAGCGTCTTTAGCAATGTTTTAAGTATTTAAAAAACTTTTTCCTGAAAAAAAGTTTTTATAAAACTAATGACAGACAAACTTGTCACTAATACAGATGATAACTAACCTTAATACTCTCATCTTTAGCTGATGAAAACTCTAAATAGTGACTGAGTTTCTTCCTAGTAAATGCGCGTCTGCCGGTATGTGTTATACCTGAGCTGTCCTCACGCTGACAATCTGACGCATCGCATCTACGACGACGTTCACCGACATGCAAGAAAAACACAAATAGTTTTATTAAGGAAAACGTTACTAACATGATTGCCTTAGTTGAGCAGCTTAAAGCTGTTGTAACAAATCTACACAACAAGCTAGGTTTTGAATGTAAACACGGGGTGTTTCTCAGTGTCAAGGCCTAGCAAGGCGATGTCTGTCTAGTTCCCCTTTAAGAAGCATGAAAGAAATGTTTTGAGCTCATTTGTTTTCTAATTTTGCCGTTGCAGCTTTAGAATAGAATAGACATGATGAAGCCCAGGGTGGGAAAATTCACTTGCTTTAAACTACATTATGAACAGAATTTGCTGTTTGCCTTACTTTAGTCACCTTCGTTCACCAGAAACTCCTCCACACCGCCGACAGATCTCCTCTGCTTCCCGGCTGCCTAATGACCGGCTACTGCATCATTATCTGTTTTCTAAAGTGGCTTACATTCATTTTATGTTGCATTAGCACCACTTTACTGGGTGTGTGTGTGTGTAGACTAATACCGTGTTCTGTTGGTATATGTGCATCCCTAATACCAGTGTATATTTCTAGCCTGCAGCTGCTCTCAAAGACATTCTAGTTTAAATTTATTTCCACTTCTGATGGTTTCTGCATCTTGTTCCTCGGATTCTTCATCTGTGTATCTCAATAGAAAGTAGATGGCTGCAACAAGATGACGTGCACTTCCTGTAGACAGTACTTCTGCTGGCTGTGCCTGGGTGTCCTCAGCAAAGTCAACCCATACAGTCACTTTAACAACCCAAACTCACCATGTTATAACCAGTAAGTCACCGTTCTCCTGATTAATCCTCATTAAAAAAAGCCTTCACGCTTTGGAAAGCACTGTTTTTCTTCCACTCTTGTTCCAGGCTCTTCCACGGTGTCGATATGGACGAAGAGGATGAATTCTGGAGCGATGAGGAGGACTGAGTCCATTGGAGTGCCTGAGAGCAGTTCATGTCATTATGATGCACTTTACCTCTCTCATCAGATCACTTGGCCTGAGTTAGCCCTGCTCCAGCGACACACTTGGATATCTGTTGGTGTTTTAATTATGGCAGGATCATTAGTGTGGGTGGACGGCAGATAACAGTCAGATGCGTGTTTGACTTATGTTTTTATTTATGCTTGCTTAATAAGTTAATAAATAACCCAATAAGATATCTAATAATTTTATAAAAAATTGGATGGCATCATATCGGTCTAGATTTCCAAACTTAATAAAAACATCTGGAAATTAGGGAGTAATTTCTCTAAACTTATGTAAAAAACCAGGTCCTAAAATAGTTTTAAAATGGAGATTTTTCTGTTTTGTGATGAACATAAATGAGCGTTAATCAGTTAGCTCTATGCTATTTATTTCTCACATGTCAAAAACAACAATTCTTTTTGCTTTTGGGTAAAAAATGTGAATAACTGTAAGAAAGTTAAGCATCATAGGATTACTCGCCTTGTTCCTCACCTGGAAATCAGGTTTTACCCACCCATCTCAAGTACTTACTTCACACACACACACGTTCTCATATACGTAGGTTTCATATTTTCTAGGCTTCAGTTCTAATGAAAGTTTATCCAGTTTTATGGAATGGTTTGGTTGTAATGTTGCCAAATATCTGCTGGTGAGTGTCAGGTTTATCAGCTCACTAGTGAGTGTTTTGCTTTTTGCTGCTTGGACTGTGTCTTTGTGGGTTGATGCTATCATGAAAGACGATCACAAGTTCAGTCTTTAAATGCACATCAATGCGGTTTTTGTTGGCGTCAGGTCAGACCCACCTTCAAGTTGCATCTAATTAAAGTATAGAACCTGCACATTTTTGTCAGAATGCAGAAAATTAAATATTTCACAAGCTGATTTGTGCTTTTGTATTTTTTATTCGTGTAATTTTCCACAACAGCAGTGTGTTTTTAGGGTTCTTTGTTTTTTTAGACACTTTTCTTTTACTGTGCTGATTGGTGCTAGCAAAAAGAGGCTTAACGTTCAGTTTTGATTTCTTCAGATTACATGGTTCAGTAGTTTAGTACTTGCTGTCTGAGATTTGATCAAGTGAGTTTTAGATTTAGCAGCTGGGATGAGAATCTGCTCCTCTAAATCTCAGACGAAGGTCTTGAGTCAGAAAAAAGCCTTCTCCAGGTCAGGGACGAGGTCCAGGTTCGGAGTTGATTCGCTGCTTCTCGAGAGGAGCCAGTTGAGGTGGCTCGGGCATCTGGTTAAGATCCCTCCTGGATGCCTCCCTGGTGAGGTTTTCTGTGCACATCCAACTGAAAGGAGACCCAAGGGAAGACCCAGGACCCTGGAGGGACTAAGTTTTTCGGCTGGCCATGGAACACCTTGGGATTCCCCCGGAGGAGCTAGCCCAAGTGACTGGGGAGAGGGAAGTCTGGGCCTCTCTGCTTAGGCTGCTGTCCTGACACCAGATAATGGATGGAGAGACTTTTACTTCTATCAGCAGAGCAGTATGGACTAAAAAAGGCTGTGGAGAGGGGAGGTTCTAATCTATACTATATGCTAAAGGGGGTCCAGGCTGCGCACAGCTGCTCTGTTAGAAAGGTGTGGTTGATGATAACACTTAAAACATTAGCCAGTTTTCCACGGGAATTCTGAAAGGGAGAAAAATGACCAAGCGTTGTGTCTCCATACAAAATCAACCCTTTTGGGACTTTAAGACGTCAGCATATCGCAACTGCTTCGTCAGTCATTGACAATGATAAGCGCCAAAAGTCAAAGTATGCTGTAATTTGATTAATTTTGGAGACCGGGAGAAGTAAAGTGAAGTAAAAAGCTGATTTTGGTGATCAGAAGTGCCGTTGGTTCTGTTGTGTCTACCACTAGGGGGAAGTATAGGAGAGGAGAATGTAGGTCGGAGGGAAGGAGAAGGAGTGGAAGAGTTATGATACTGCTACATGTGATGCCGGTTTGAATAACTGCATCACATGTAGCAGTATCAGGCATCCATCTTAACTCTTCCACCCCTTCGCTTTCCCTTCTTTCCATGTTCGCCTCTCCTATTCTACTTACTAATGGTTGACTCATTAAACTCACAAAATTGTCACTAATAATCAGTACATAGTAATGCTTAGGCCCTGCCGTCAGCAGGGGTGGCCACAAATTTGCTGTCAGGGTGGCACTGGCCCACCCTGAACCCCACCTTGAACCGCCCGTGGCTGTGGACCAAAATGTTTATGCAGAACATTACTTTAGACATAAATCATCAAATTTAATCAATTGCAAATGGTTATTTTCCTATTTAGCTTTAAAAGTGAAAGTAACATTTTAAATCAGCAATCAATTAATAAAATATAATTTCAGCTACTATTATTTATTAATGCTTTTAAATCTAGAGTGCAGAAACATTTTATTGTGGAAAAAAATGATTTATTTTTCCTGGAAAATAATTGCAGCAGGTATGTCAGCACATAATTATAGGGAGGTACATCTTAGAATACGTGAAACTAAGATCATCTGTTGGGACTGAGTCTGTTTTGGTAATAAAAATAACATTATGGGTGATCTCGGATCATCATGAGATCTCATGATATGAATCGGCCACAGAGCCACATGGGATTTTTGCTTGAAATCTGACAAATTGACAAAGTCAAAACCATTATTTCTTGATCAGCTGTGGGGACCATCTTGAATTGGTTTAACTCCAATAGTTAACCAGTTACAGGTGAACGTATAAAAGCTGATTTGTGTGTGTTTCATTCAGATCTGTCCAAAGGCTCATGAGATATGTGGCAAAAACCCAGGAAAGGTCCGATTAAAAAGCCACAGTGCTTAATTGAACATTGTGAAAATGTTTTTCCACTAATTTTTTTATTTTGTGGTGGTGAAAATAACTCTGAGCTCCCTGGCAGCTTCTTTACCTGAACCATGACCCACATTTACCCCGTGATCCAGAGGTTAGGCTGTCAGAGACACAATGACTCGCTGAAGAAACAAAGAGCCCACATTTTAGCCTGAAACTGAAAAGACAGACAACATTGCGATCCTTTTGGCTAGAGTTGCTGACAGTGGATAACCCTTTAAACGGCCCCCCCTCCCGTCCTGTCCCATCCTCACTGCCTGCCTGACTCACTCGCTGATACTGGGCCCACAGCAAACCAGCATCAGGACCACCTGACCACCACAGACACGTTCCACCACTGCCGTTGGATCAGTTAGCTCTGACCTGCTGGTAAAGTTATTTTTTACTTTCACCAGTGGTCCAAAACCTACTTAGTCCTGAATTTAAGTAAATTATTTTGTTATTGTTTGATATCTTAATGAGCAACATAAAAATTATTAGACATTAATAATAAGAAGGTGACTTAAACATGAAATAATCCAATTTTTTGAAAGATTTTCATAAATAATTCACCTTTTCAAAAAGAATTGTGTCACAGGAATGTATGTGATTAAGGTAGGAACACAATGCTTTCTTTTGAATTATTAATTATACAGGTGAAGAAAAGTTACTTAAATTTATAACTGTTGTGTATTGTTGGACACTTGTTTCAGACACTGGATTACTCTTATTTTGAAAAAGTCCCTCCTCATTTTTAATAATTTGCTGTTAAATTGCTAAAGGTGCATTTTTTTTCTCCTTTTTCTGTCTTAAAAGGTCAAATAAACTCGTCTACAACAATTAAACAAACAGGTTATTCAGAAGAAAAAAATACATGATTTGACTGTTTTTATAAAAATCGAAGCATCACTTGCAGCCACTGAGGGGCCAGGAACACAAGGAGTGGTCGTACGATGATCGACAATGACAGACTGCTTGACAAAGAGCTGTCGGCCATTGTTCAGAAGCTGTGGGACAACGACATCAACAGACTCACACCTGGAAAAGACTACAAGATCTCCTTGCAGGTTCACACATCCGCACCAGCAATTAAACAATCACCTTTAGCTGATCTACTGGAAAACAAGACGTCATGTTTTAAAAAGCTCATTTGACATTCCAGTTGATGACAGAGCAGATTGGGTTAATCTGTAGTAATTCCTTTTTGATGCAGGGCAAAGCTGGAGACAGCATGGGCGTCGGTGACAACAGCGACGCAGCGGGATTCCCTCTGTTTACATTTGTAGATGAGAATATTTTCAAAAAGGAGACATTTTTAGGTAGGTGCTCACGTTTGTATGGAAATATTTTATTAAGAGCTTCACCATAACTGGAGCAGGAAATATGTAAATCTGTGTTTTTATCCACTCAGAATGTCAGAAGTGATTTGATTTTTATTATAATAATGGATGCAGCATTTATTTTTTGTACAGCTGCACCATCAAGCATGATTACTTCGTGCATTTCACGTCCGTTTGCTGCTTCCACTTCCTGTCAGAGTAGAGCTCTCTCTTGTCTAATCTCCTTATGACGAGCAGTGACATGTTGGGTAATCACAGAGCGTGTCTTCTGGATGCAAAATGATGCAGCACCCTTCCCTCCAGATCATCTTTTCCTGTTTATAGTTTAGCTATTTGAGTGGTGATTAAAGGTGTTTTGCACATAATTATTTCTATATATCTGTTTTATGCTGAGTCAAAAATTATTCTTTTTTTTCTTCAAGTTTTCAAATCCTTTTCTGGATTCTGTTGCTGCAGCTTTTATCTCTCTGCTGGATAACTATGAGAGTGACACCGGAGAGCCAGAAATCGTAACTCCTGAGGAGGAGGCGGAGAACCACAAGTTCCTGGACTCCATTGTTCAGACTCCCACTATGAAGGTACCTGAGGGAGAATTTGTAAAAAAAAAAGTTACTAACATACTTAGTTACTTAGTTGATTACTTATGTACTTACTTATACTTACACTTACTTAGTTATTTAGTTAATTCTTTACATACTTACTCACTCACTCACAGTACTTATTTACCTACATACTTAGTTCCTTAGTTGATTGCTTACTTATGTACTTACTTACGTACATTCTTACATATACTTACTTAGTTATTTAGTTATTTACTTACATAATTGCTTACTTACTTACTGATGTACTTATTTACTTAGTTCCTTAGTTGATTACTTTTATTATGTACTTACATTCTTAAATATTCTTACATACTTAGTTAATTACTTACTTACATGTGTATTTATGTTCTTTAGTTGAAAACTTTTTATGTACCTACTTATACTTACTTATTTAGTTGATTACTTATTTGTGTACTTACTTACGTTCTTACATATATTTACTTAGATATTTAGTTAATTACTTACATACTCATGTACTTATTTACTTACATACTTAGTTCCTTAGTTGATTAAATATTTATGTACTTACATATATTTACTTAGTTATTTAGTTAATTACTTACATAATTGCTTACTTACTTACTGATGTACTTATTTACTTTCTTACTTAGTTCCTTAGTTGATTACTTTCTTATGTACTTACATTCTTAAATATTCTTACATACATAGTTAATTACTTACTTACATGTGTACTTATGTTCTTTAGTTGAAAACTTATGTACTTACTTATACTTACTGGCTGCACAGTGGTGCAGTGGTTAGAGCTGTTGCCTTGCAGCGAGAAGTTCCTGGGTTCGCTTCCCAGCCTGGGATCTTTCTGCATGGAGTTTGCATGTTCTCCCTGTGCATGCGTGGGTTCTCTCTGGGTCCGGCTTCCTCCCACAGTCCAAAAACATGACTGTTAGGTTAATTGGTCTGTCTAAATTGTCCTTAGGTGTGAGTGTGTGTGTGCATGATTGTTTGTCCTGTGTGTGTCTGTGTTGCCCTGCGATGGACTGGCTCTCTGTCCAGGGTGTACCCCGCCTCATTGCCCGTTGACTGCTGGAGATAGGCACCAGACCCCCCCCCCCCCCCACCCCCACCCCCCCGCGACCCCACATGGTCAAGCGGGTTCAGAAAATGGATGGATGGACTTATACTTACTTATTTAGTTGATTACGTATTTGTGTACTTACTTACGTTCTTACATATAATTACTTAGTTAATTAGTTAATTACTTACTTACTCATGTACTTATTTACTTACATACTTAGTTCCTTAGTTGATTACATTTTTATGTACTTACTTACACTTGCTTTTTTAGTTGATTACTTTTTTGTTTACTTACTTACATTTATTTACTTAGTTATTTAGTTAATTACTTACTTACTTACTCATGTAATTTTTTACTTACATACTTACTCATACTTACTTATTTAGTTGATTACCTTCTTATGTACTTACTTATGTTCTTACATATTCTTACTTACTTAGTTAATTACTTACTTACATACTTAGTTCCTTAGTAAATTACATACTTGCATATTTACTTCATTACTTACTTACTTATTTACATACATACATACTTACTAACTTACTTTCTTACTTACCTGCATATTTATTTACGTACTTACTTTTATATTTATTTTTTCATGTATTGTTTTCAGATAGCCCACAAATACCTGGCGGAGAAGCATCTTTCACCTGAGGATGAGGCGGGATTCAAGAAGCAGCTCTACAGGATCTGGTTTGAGCTCTATGCAAGGCGAGGATCCAGCAGGTGAGTGGAAATCGATGCAACATCTAAAAATAACTTCACAGGAGGAATCTAACACCAGAGTCGTGATTGTTTCACACAGAGAAACAGAATCCTCTGGAGTGGGGACCTCTGCAAATGTAGTTTCAGTTCACTGTTGTAGTTTTTGTACCACCAGGCCAGATTCTTCAGGGTTTGAACACGTGTTTGTTGGGGAGACAAGAGGCAGGCGGACTGTCATTGGCTTCCACAACTGGATCCAGCTGTACTTACAAGAAAAGCTGGGTCACATTGATTATAAAGGCTACACTGTTGATGCAAATTCACCCCAGGTACGACATGCTGATGCGTAATGTTTCTGGCTCCAGTAAAAGGTGATAATGTTGTTAATGTTTAAAATTCAATTAAGCTGTGAGTAAACAGACAGGATTGTTTCTTCATCCCTCTCTGCTCTCATTTTTAGTCATTTTTTAAGTCATCAGGCCTTCTTTCCTTCCTTTTGCTGCAGCCTGATGAGAACAAACACATCCTGGCACTTCAGTTCAGCTGGAAGAACGGAATAAAGCCCAAGGGGAGCATCTTCATCGGCGTCAGTCCGGAGTTTGAGTTTGCCCTCTATACTCTCTGTTTCCTCAGCTCGCCCAATGAGCGAGTCAAAGTACAGTTCAGTTTGTATGATGTGGAGATTGTTTGTCACCACTACAACCAAAAGCACATAGGCACCACCTTTCCTGTGCTCCTTAGGTACCAGCATCCTCAAAAGCACAAGTAGTGATTAGTGCCTCTCCAACACTTGGGCTTGCAAAGTGTCAAGATAAACACTTTTTTTTATTTACAAAAAGTTACAATAAAACTTCTCAAGACCCATCTTTGGTTCTGTTTGTGAGTTTCCATTTCTCAACATGCAGGTATAATTACTGATATAAATACATCACTTCTGAGGAGTAAACAATTATTAACAACTTAAGCAAAACATCAACAATATATGAAATAAAAAATTATTTTCCCTCGGTGGGGAAATTTATATCCACCAGCAGCAAAGCTTAATATTCAGTATCAAGATGCTCAACTAGAACAAATAAGCACTAAATACTTAACCGTGATCACAAGAAGAAATAATAATAACAAAAAAACATACGTGCAAAAATACTTGATGATTTAAATGGAAGACATGTACCACATCTAAAAAAAGTACTGTACTTTATCAAAAATATTTACAGGAAGAGAAAACATAGATGAAAAACTGTGTAAATTAGCTGAGTGAAAGCAAGTAGGAAAACAACAGAACAGATAATAACTAACAACAATTAAAAAAACAATCATTCAATCAATCAATCAATCAATCAATCAATAAAAGCTTTATTTATAAAGCGCCTTCCGCAACCCTGTCAGGAAGCCCAAAGCGCTGAACATGGTTCAGTTGTAGGTAAATATATTGAATAAATCAACAATAAAAGCAATTCAAATGACAAAATACAAATTACAAAATAGATGAAACATTCTGGTACGGGACAAATGTGCAAAACAATGGATTGAGTGAACCAATGAAAACTGAAATAAATTCGACATAAAAGAGGGCCAAAATCAAACATGTTCTGGAAACTCCAAGCGGAGGAGGTGGGTTTTTAGGCGACTCTTAAAGACTGGCAGAGATGGGGACAGCCTAACTGTGGGTGGCAACTGGTTCCAGAGTGACGGTGGTAGGACTGAGAAAGCCCGGTCCCCACAAGTACGACACCTAGAACGAGGGACGGCGAGCAGGCCTTGGTCAGAGGAGCGCAGAGCGCGTGATGGGGAGTGTCTGTTCAGGAGTGTGGCTAGATAGGGGGGAGCACCACCCTGGAAGAAATGATAAACAAAGACGAGGATTTTGAATTGTGAGTGATAGCAGACCGGAAGCCAGTGCAGGGAGGCCAGAACCGGACTGATGTGGTCCCGTTTCCTGGTCCCAGTCAGGAACCTGGCTGTGCTGTTCTGCACAACCTGTAGGCGACGCAGTGATGACTGACACAACCCTGCATAGAGAGAGTTGCAGTAGTCAAGCCTAGAAATTACAAAGGCATGCAGTACCCGCTCCAGGTGGGCTCTCGACAGCATACAAAACAACTATAATAATAATGAATATATTATTATAAATTAAAATAATTAATAAAAAAACTTTACTTTCCTATTTTCCTTTTGCAATGCCAGTCATGTTTTATCTTATAAACGCTTATATAATAGTATAGAAACGCTTATCTCGCACACGTCGTCTATGGTTTCACTTTTATACTTCTACCAAACGAGGGCGCCAGAGGGTTAGTTGTGACCAATGACGTCAATTGCTTGACAGGAAAGAATTAGTCAAGTTAGCGAAAGTAACCCAAAACGGATCAATTTATGGGTAAAACTTTCTAAAAGAAACGTTTTCAAATATACAAACAAATCTAAGCAATAAAGCAGAGAGTAAAATCCTTCATTTATCTATTTAAAATTAAATTTACTGAAATTAAAATGAAAGTGTCCACAACAACACATCTCATTGCTAACGTGAACTGTGGCTTCCGGTGAGAACACCGGAAGCAAAACATGAATGTAACTTGATACTCTTCCATCTTATCGAAAGGAACGGTTTTGCGACCATTGTGGTCCACTCGGAGTTTAAAAATTGACACTGTTAAACAATTCATCTCTTTATTGTTGGTGGGTTATTTTCGGTTCTTGATTACGAAGCGGGATGGCGGAAACCAACGCCAGATATCAGCAGGTAGGAGAAAACGCGCTATTGTAGTTTCGAATTAGTCACCCAGATGCACGTCCTGTTAATTTTTCACCGACGTGAACCTTTTATGCCTATTAACAGCAATGTATGTAAGTTCTCAGTCGGCTTCACAGTGACTAGTGTTATTGTGGTTGTGTAAATTGTGCCCTAAAGAAGCTAGCAGGCTAATATAAACACCAAACATCTTCCCTTTCGTTAGTTTGGACAGATTTTATAAACTCGGTCTAAATATGTTTTAATTATTTAAGTCGTTACTGGTTGAACCTCTCGTTTTCGGTCTTTCTAGTTAGTTAGCATTGTGAAATTCATGTGGTTAGTACAAAAAATGAACTTGAATTTCGGAGCTAGAGTGGTTTGCAGGTGAGCTTTAGCAGCAGCAGGGGCATGATACCGTTTTACCAGCTGACCAGCTTAGCTACCAGGGCAGACAGCTGGCTTCTAATGTGGCTAAATAAGCGTTTAATTTAATTGTATCATTAGAAAAAGTATGACTATATGGGGAAAATGTTTTCAAATGACCGCTGAATGTAGAAAAGTAGTTGTAGAGTTCTAATTATCGCTCATAAAAGATAAAACACAACTGGCTACAGAATATCCACTTATTCTAATACTTGATATATTTAATGACTGGGATTCTTACCAATTTTAAATAATAATATTTAAGTTGTTTTTGAGTGTTACGCTCGCTAAGGGCCACCTCTCAGGACCTATAAAGCAACATATTGTCAGATGAATAGTTGTGGTTTAAAATCTTATTTAATGTAAGAAAAGGTCTTTCTGTTCATTGGCTTGGCCAATTTCTGATTCAAAATGAAAATAATGTGAGTGACGCTTGATTGTATTTCCTTTATACAGCTGCCCAATGAGGAGGACCCAGAAGAAGGTCCACAGGCTGCAGCTGATGCTCCACCTCCATACAGCAGCATAACAGTGGACAGTTCTGGTAAAACCACCTCTTTTTTTTTAGATATTCCCCTGGTCCTGAGGCCATAATTAGAACCGTTTCTGAGCTCAGTTAGACCAGAAACTAATGAATGCAAACCCATCTTTAATTAAAGTGTTCATAACTGAACCTTTGGTGAGCTTTTATCCTAATTAGTAGTAAAATCATAACAAAATGCTTATAATTAGGAAACTATGGATTTAAGAAGGTAAGTTTTTTGTATGAACATTTTTCTTCAGCCTACTTTGACAACAAGGAAGACGGGGTTTTCCCAAAGCCTCCATCATACAACGTAGCCACTACGCTACCTTCCTACGATGAGGCAGAAAGAACTAAAGCAGAGACGTCTTCTCTTGTTACAGGAAGAGTAAGTGTCTCCGTTTAATCTCCACACACACACACACACACACACACACACACACACACACACACACACACACACACACACACACACACACACACACACACACACACACACACACACACTCGGTGGTTTGTTCTCTCAAGCTTCCGGAGATGTTTTCAAGGCAGGAAGTGTTGGGCGCCCTGCCGTGTTGTCGGGGTAAAACTAAAAAATGTTGCACACACATCCCTGAAACTGTAAATTTTCAGAACACTTTTGTTATGCAGTAGCTCAGGAGGTAGAGCGGGTTGTCCAGTCATCGGAAGGTTGCAGGTTTGATCCCGACTCCAACCAGAAAATGCTGCTGCTGTGTCCTTGGGCAAGACACTTAACTCACCTTGCATGCTGGTGGTGGTCAGAGGACCGGCTGCGCCAGTTTATGGCAGACCTCGTCTCGGTCGGCGCGCCCCAGCTACACTGTTGATGCAAATTGATGATGTTGATAATGCTGCATTGTAGCTCATCCCCACCAGCCGGTGAATGACTGAATGTATTGCGATGCGCCTTGGGGGGGGGGGGGGGGGGGGGGAATTGTAGAACCCTAAGAAGGCGCTAACAAATACAAGCCATTCATTGTAAAGCAGTTTCTCACAGCTGCAATAGTGTGCTAATTGGAGGGTAAGCTAAACGAACAAATACAAATATCTTGTTTTAAGTGTGTAACTTGTCCACAAAAGCTGCTTCTGCCTCTTGAAAGGGAGAGCTCTCATTAGCCCTCTAGTGGCCACCCTTATGCATTACATCCTATTTAATTTTTATGTAAGCAGGAAGTCACATCAAGCCAAGAAGCATTCACAAGAGCACGATGATCAGACAGAAACATGTTTGAGTAAGTGCTGCTGAACTAATAAGAATAAACCCACGTGATGTCATAGCTTGATGAAAGCGTTCTGGTGGTTTTCTGGATCATCCTCGGAAGAAGACCATTTGTAATTCTGTACAAGATGGCCTTGATTGGCTTTTGATTTGTGTTTGACTGGTCGTTGTGTTTCTCTGCCACACACCGCTTTGCGCTCAGCAGCAGCCTCAGCACAGGGAGCACCTGGAGACTTTTGATGATGTTATTCGCAGTTCACTTGAGGTAATGTGGAGACGTGTGTGATTAGATCAAGTGTACAGTAGTTTTGTTGCGTTAAAGGAAACATACCTGCATTGTGTGTGTGTGTGTGTGTGTGTGTGTGTGTGTGTGTGTGTGTGTGTGTGTGTGTGTGTGTGTCCAGTACCCCACCCTTCATGTGTTGGTGTAGTGTTGGTTATAAGTTCTGTAAGCTCATCAGGTCCCGCTCATGTCACACTTTAATTCTAATAATAATTGTGCTTAAACACACCAGCTGTGTTGTGATGTTCCCATTTCTCTGTTAATAATTTGTTAGATCTGCTTTACTCTTTCAGCAAAGCTTGATTACTTCTAGCAGGTGCGCGTTTAAGTAACCATTGGCTGAAATGAAACGCGATCGAAGGGATTAAACAAGTCTATGATGTAGAATGATTTGTTAAAGCCCAGCTGCTACGATCCAGCTTTGCTCTGATGAAACTTTTCACTGATTAATTTTTGTTCTTGTTTTTTATTTAATGACAGGACGAGGACTTTGTGACCAGAGATGATTTTGAAGACGCCGATCAGCTGAGGATAGGAAACGACGGCATCTTCATGCTCACCTTCTTCAGTTAGTCCTCCTGACTTCTCATGTCGCTCAGCCGTTCTTTCCCTTATTCCTCTTTTCTTGCACATTAAAAGGATGTTTTGGTCTTTTTGATGTGTGTAAAACTTACCCGGCCTTAGCATCCGAGCAGCAGTTAGCCCCCGTCATGGTGGATGGATTTGTTGCGCCGCAAAGGGCCACGTCCCCAGAAGTGTAGTTTCGCTAAATTTACGCGTCGAGCCTATTCTTTACGTGCTACGCTTCCAGACTGAGTCACGTTCGGCAGTTCAGATCGGGGCACACAGGAAGTCAAAAACGCAAGCAGTGTAAAACATCTGGAAGCTTTCAAAATAAAATGCACAAGCACAGTTCCTGTTGATGAACTAGTAAAAAAACGGAAGTCATTACCTGTGACATCTACGTAGCTGAGGTAAACATAACAGGAAATGGATCACAAACTTTTAGGTCTTTCTCTTTGCTTGTTGTCGCGGGAACTGCTGAAACCAAGCGTGATCTTGCAGTTCTCGAGTGATTCGGTAACCTCCCAGGACCAGTAGCGTAGAATGAAATGCTGCCTGTGGGAAGGGACGTGCTAATGAGCTTGCTGGGGAAACACATCTATTTCATTATGAGCTGCTAAGGCATCCAGAAGGAGTGCCGGGTTAAAAATAAACTCGAAGTGGCAAGGGAATACGTCACTACACTTCTGGGTTGCGTTCAAAAGGCGAAGCTTTGCTGCTGGTGGAAGTGCTGCGTGCTAGGCTCTGTGGACGTTATGTGGCGCTTGCGCGTCCGGTGGAAAGTCCCAGTTAGAATCGCTAGCTTACCTTATGAAGATGGGGGACTAATATTTACTCAAAAAGACCGTTCATTCAGAAGTCCATGACCGATATGATAATTGAACTCCTACTCTGGAACAAAGTGTCCAAAACGTTAGCATTCTTAATCACGAGCCTAAATGCTCACCATCCTTTCCCTTTGCCTCTCTCTTCCCAGTGGCATTCCTGTTCAACTGGATTGGTTTCTTCCTGTCTTTCTGTCTGACCACCTCGGCAGCTGGACGATACGGGGCGATCTCAGGCTTTGGGCTCTCCCTCGTCAAATGGATCCTCATTGTCCGGGTACAAGACACAAACACCCACTTGTTACAGCGCCGTAAAAGACCAATAAAACAGAGTTTTATGGGTTCAGGAACACATCTAAAGCCCCGAACACCATTGTGGTATTTCAGTTCTGTCTCAGTAGTGGCCAAGAAATGTTTCCTCAATGATTTCTAGATGATTTAGCTGTTTTTGGATTCATTTCTTTAAGATTTATTTATTTATTCTAACTAGTTATTTCTGCGGCTGTGTTGGTGTTTTTAGTTCTCCACATACTTCCCTGGTTACTTTGATGGACAGTACTGGCTGTGGTGGGTGTTCCTGGTGTTGGGTGAGTAGAAAACCTTTGCTTAATCCTAGTTGTGACAAATTCTAGTGATGCTCTCATTCATATCACACAAATTATACGAAATACACAATACTGTAGTTTGACATGGGTGGAAATCTTAGGTGGATGGAGGTACTTTACACACAGTCTCTCTCTCTCTCTCTCTCTCCCTCTCTCTCTCTCTCTCTGACACACTCTCTCTGTCTTTCTGTCTGTCTTTCTCTCCATCCGGGGTGGGACTCGATAAAAAATTAATCTAATTAATTAAAGCCTTTGTAATTATTTATTTTGATGAATCGTAATTTAAACGTTCAAGAAAATTTGCCCCCAGAGTCACTTTTTAAATGAAAAATAATGAGGCAGAGACAAACAACAGACATGGACATTGTTATTGGAAACTTAAGCTCTTTAAATGTCTTCCATGGTTACTGCTTTGATTTCAAGCATATGAAATGGTTCGCCCTTTATGGGCCATTCCCATCTGTACCGGGTCGGCCCGGGCCGGGTAGCGTAGGTTGTTTACATATCTGGGTGGCCTGGTATTTTTCCGGGCCAACCAAGGCTCATTCTCAGCCCTCTTCTCGAGGGGGTCTGCTTCAGGCCGACCAGGGCCAACACACCCACTGCTGACAGCAAATTCACACCTTCCATTAGAGCAAGCCTCTGATTGGTGGGTAGAATCAGCCCACATGGGCTTAAGGCAAGGATGTGTGGAATCAACCGGGCCAGACTGGGGCTACCCGGCCCGGGCCGACCCGGTACAGATGGGAATGGCTCACAGCCCCCCCACCCCCCCACCCCCACACACACATGTGTTTTCCTCCTCAGGCTTTTTACTCTTCGTCCGAGGCTTCATCAATTATGCCAGGATTCGGAAGATGGCTGACACCTTATCCACTTTGCCCCGCACCCGGGTCCTCTTCATCTACTGAGCTTGCAACCCACCCACCAGTATTCATCACTGTTTTTATGTCATCTTTATTTTCAACATCTGATATTTTGCAATCACAAAAGGGGTCGTTTTAACCTCTTCTTGACACAATTTGGACAATGTGGCATCTTAAACCCCCTTTTGTTTGCTAAATCAGTGACGGGTGAAGAAATCTGCACAACACTGGAGTTATCGGTGATCTGTGAAGTGCTTTCTGTGATTATGTGATGTTTAAATGAATGCCTTATTGTTTTACCGTTTGTTGGTAGCAGCAACACGTGTTGTCCCTCACTCGTAGCCACCAGGGGGCACTCTTGTTTGTGTTATTTTCCTTCAGGTGTTTTTTATTTTTACTGTACAGAAAGGTGGTTGTTGACCAAGCTTCTGTGGGTGATCCTGAGGTCACAGGTTGATTAACTCGATGTGAGGTCCTGTATTCCAGTTTATTGTACTTTTACCTTTTCTCAACAATGCGCTTTACTGCTTGTGTGTTAATAAACAATCACACTATTTAGCTTTTGAAAAACAACCAGAGGACAGATTCATCCCTTAATATATTTTTGTCTATGCATCCGTAAATTGTTCATTTATTGTGCCGGCGTTTCTCGTCATCAAACATCCTGCCGGGATTTTTACAGCTTTTAAAGTTTTTGTCAGGAGGTGATAGTTTGTCACGACTTAAATGTGAGATTTTCTCCTAATTATCCTAATTATCTTCTTTTTCCTTATTTAATACAGTGAAGTAATGAGATGTTTCTTTAATTATTTCACTGTGTTAAATAAGAAAAAAAAAGATAATTATGAGTCAGCACAGAATGAAAATACAGTAGATTTTCTCCTGTCGAATAAATACTTCCAACACCCTGTAACTGTGACTTGGCTTCCTGGTGTTGCTTTTTTATTTGTCAAATATGTATTTCTTACTGTGTCTTTTCTGAAGAAATGCTGGGGTTTATACATTTTAAGGCAGAGGAATCAGAATTCTTGTGAATTTTTTTCTACATTTTCGCTTGTTTAGGAATAATTTATTTCAAAACAGGGTTGTTGATATTACCAGTGATGATTTATTTCAAAATCCGAGTATTTTTTTTAACGATTGTTACAAATTTAAAGCAGATTTATGTTTTAGCAGATGTACAGAGAGCTACAGCATGGTGAAACCTCATCTGTCATGAGGTGTAGCTGCTAAATTTAACACGCGAGACACATGTTTGCCAGGGTGGACATGATTTACAGGTGGTGGCTGCTAATTGCACATGTCAGCTGTGTTTTTCCTGTGCAGTTGGAACAGGAAGTGAAGGTCACCCCTCCTGGAAGACATGTCACTCCAACCCACAGTTTCTGGTCTCACTGGAAACTTTTAATGTCGCACTGAGACGTTTTAAGTCTCATAGCCTCTCAGTTGGGGGTGTTTCTGTCTCAGTTGTAAGATTTTATTTCACTTTCACTCTGTAAACAGAAGGTTGCAGGTTTGAGACCCGCTCAGTCAGTCGCTTTTGTGTCCTTGGGCAAGACGCTTAACTCACCTTGCCTGCTGGTGGTGGTCGGAGGGATCGGGGGCACCTGTGTATGGCAGACTCGCCTCTGTCAGTGTGCCCCAGGGCAGCTGTGGTGACAGTGAAGCTCATCATCACCAGGGTGTGAATAGGTGAAGGACTGATTGGGTTGTAAAGTGCCTTGGGGAGTTCCTGGACTCTAGAAGGCGCTATGTCAAATACAGGCTATTTACCATTTTCCATAAGATAACAAACATGCCAGTTTTAGTAGATTTAATAACCTGTAGAGGTTAAAGGTCATCCAGAGGACCTTCAACACACCTCCTCTGAGTCACCACGTCACCAGATAAACTAAAATAAACAAACTTAACTTTGCCAGGTGCAGATGGTTCAACTGTTGGAAGGGTTTGAACTGCAAAGCACACAAACAACACGATTTCCTGTCATCTCACAAATCCTACCTTAATTTACCAGAATCCTATCCAAAGCGTCATCCCTCGTCTGTTCCAGCGAGGTCACTCGGTGCAGATGTTCCTCCTATCCAGATGTCATTCATAAAGCAACCCCATTGTGCCGAGACCTGTTTGTGTCTTGTCAGCTGCCCCCAATTTAGACAGAGGGAAGTAGTTTCTTGGATGGGAATCGTGCGCTCGCCAAGTGCTTGTGATGCTTGCATGTTTTAGCTATCAGAAGATAAGAGGAGTTTTGTGATTTACAGAGAGCGTGGGAGTGAGCAGTCTCTCCAAAACGACGTGCTTTTACTTTTCTGGCTTCTGACAGTCGAGTGGACTTTTTTTGTTCAAATACAGATTTCGTTTGTCTATGGGAAATCTGGTGCCTTGAGATGGGGAATTCTGAACAGATTTTTACCAAACAGATTCCATTTGAGGTTCCGCGTGTTTTAGAGATATTTCAGCAAATATCAGGCCGTTAGCTTCTATTTCTAACCTAGCTCTGCTCAAAGTTAACGGCATTAAACCTAGTTAGAATAAGTCACACAGTTGGGTTATACTTGACGATTTCTGATATTTTAAAATCCCAAATAAAATGTAGTCGACCACAAATGGGGAAAGATCTTTAACCCCCTAATTTTCTTCTGTTTTGATCACATTATCCCACCAGACTTCCATAATAAATGCATTTCAGAGTCAGAGTAGTTCAGTTGTGCAGCTCAGATTTATATTTGAAAAAAAAAAAAAAATCATAAAATATAAACCCACTGATTTGTTCCATTCTGCTATGCATAATTTATATTTTATAATCTAAAATTTGTCCAAACATTCTGAAAAGTAAAATAGCTAAAAATGAGATTTGTCTTTTTATAATGCTCCTTTTTACTGATGGAAGAAGAGAGATTTGTGGGTTTGCTTGTTTTCATGGGACTTAGGCAGCCGCTTATCTGGCTGAACTGTCATTACATAATGGTTGGACTCACTTCGAAAGGGGAAAGATGTGAAAAATAAAAGAATCAGATAATAAATAGAAGATAGGAAATATTTACTCCCAGTCAAATGTTTAAACAGGTTTTTCAAAATAGTGATAAAAATGCCAGAAAAGTAAAAAAATAAAGAAGTTGTAAAACAATGCATTGAAATTATTTTTTTTAGAGTTTTCAACACATAAAATGCTGTAAAACTAGTTAAAAAGATGATGCAGTGACTTATCTGTCATGCTAGTGTTTTTGTTGCAACACACGGTTTCATCAAAATTCAAGAGCAGCCTTCATTTTTCAAAACTTTCATACTATTTTAGTTATTTTTCATATTTGCTGGGTTTGGGTAGATGCAAGTTACAGGAACAAGAAACTGATCTGTTGCGTGATCTTTAGTTTGAGACATAAAGTTAGGATTTGTACTCCGTCTGTCAGTTCCACTCAGCAATACTGATTCTCAGTGCACAGAAATAAAACAAATGATCACCTTAACATGGCCAGGTCAGGAAAACCTTTAACAAGTCCTCGTTTATTTAAAACTCTGCACTTCCTGCCAGAGACCTCCCATCACCTTGAGACAAACAGCAGTCAGCTGGAGCCTCATGCTGTCAGTCGGAGTTTCAGATGGGAGGTTCCCAGGATGTGGGGAGGATGTGGGTTGCATCCAAATGATATATCCGTCCTCGTCTTCTCTCTGTGTGTGTGTATGTGTGAGAGTGAGAGAGAGAGAGAGAGAAAGAGAGAGATTGGGGGCAGAGGGGGAGGAGTGTTATCACTGAAGTGTGAGTCATCCTGACCCTCCCCTCCTCTCTGCCTTCTCTTTATGTGGCATGTGTGTATATATGTATGAGTGATGTGAGTTGGGAGGATGTGTAATTCCATAATCCAGTATGATCTGTGTGTGTGAGCTGTGTGCATATGTGTGAGGCTGGTAAAGCCCTGGTGAGTCATCCTCAGACCAGCATCGCTTGTTACCATGGGTCACACTCAGCAGGTACCCCACCTCCCTGTGTGTGTGTGTGTGTGTGTGTGTGTGTGTGTGTGTGTGTGTGTGTGTGTGTGTGTGTGTGTGTGTGTGTGTTTAAACCCACCTCTCTCCCATATCCTCTTCCTCCTCCTCCACCTTCATCTCCTTTTTCCTCTCTGAATCAGAGATGACTCCCCACCACCAGCAATGACATCACCACCCCCTCCCCGAACACTTTATTGTGGTGAATCATACTGTACGTTGAGATTTTCTCAGTTTCTGTCTTCCGCTCACCTGACGCGGTAAAACCTAAACGTTCACTCAGAAAATCAGATTGAAATCACTGAGATGCTTGTGTGAAGAATGTAACTGAATGCCACCAGTCATAATACAAAATGCAGACATTCCTGTGCAATCGAACGTGCTTCCACATGGTATTCTGATGCTCATGTGTGATAATCACACAACCATGTGTGTTAAACCATTTCAACACAGTTAGTCCCCAATTAAATAGTAGGAACTGAGATTTTTTTTTCTTACACAAATCTCAAAAATTGCATTAAAGTGACAACATGTATTTACCCTGACATTTCGATGGATATTTCTAGAGATTAATGGTTAGATTAGAAGTACACATTGTCTCTTAACTAAGAGCATCATTAATAATTAGCACACAGAAGCTACTTAAAGGAAGAGTCAACAGCTGGAATGTGGGACATAAAAATATGTTTATTGTTGCTCTTTGTGCATAAACATTCACATGCAAGTAATATGAGTTGTAAGAAATGGGCCGATTGGAAGTTTGGCACAACTCTGTCTTTGTGAACGTGTAAGGGTCTTTTTACACAAGCAGCTACCCATTGGGTCAACTCGACTCAGCTCTACTCAACATAGTTCGGGTCATTTTATATACATCTCTAGTGGGTGGATTCATCATAGAGGGGCGGCCCCAAAATTCAAAAAGTAGCGTTAGAAACAAAAACGCAACCCAACGCATTGGAGGCCATGTTAACGATGTTGAACAATCTGCTCATTTGATATCGTTTTGTCAGATTTCAAAAATTAGGGACCCAGAATACGCTGCAAGCAGCAATGATATGAAACGGAAACACTGTGGATCTACCAGCCACTCCACCCTGTACGCTAGAGCCAGATCGAAGCTGGTACTAATAATGGGGCAGCTACCACAGACCCGTTACCAGTGGAAAAGTCTTGGAACTGCACCAGGCCAAGACGAGCTGTGCCAAGTAGGTGCTAGTAGTCTAGACATCTAGACAGACTGTAGTAGAAGCTAAAGGATTTTGTTCTGCAGGTCGGTGTAGCCATGCTCTATCAGAGCTTCGGCAGGTCCAAACAATCTTGCCAACCACAATGCTTTCTCGGTTTGGTAGGCGGGATGTTGTTGTGATGGAGCAAAACAACAAAAGATGGCAACAGCTCATTTGAATCAGCTTTGGCATCAACCCTGTACTATTTAGACTTGGGCTTTTCTTTGAGTCAAGAGCAGATAGAGGTACTTACGTTATTTATTTAGAAAAAAGATGCATTTGCGACTTCTTTGACATTGTAAGGCGAACTGCCCCTTTTACTGACATCCGTAGCGGTGAGTACATTGCGTTGTTCGTTGTCCAGTAGCATGCAAAGACAACCTTAGAATCTGCCCCACGACTGAGTGTCTATGGGTTGTGATGAGACTATATATTCACATATATAGGATGGCTTGCCAGGCTAAGGTGCTTGTGGAAATGGGCAACAAAAATTTGTAGCAGTAAAGATCAAGAGCCCTGTTCACACTACAGATTTTTAAAATTGCCTGTGATTTTCAAAACATGATTTACCACATATGCAGTGATACATCACAGATTTAACAATTTTGGTCTTACAGTGTGTAGTGGCAACTTGGCAAATACTACACACAAACTGCCTTCACTCACAGGCATTCTCCGCTGACAAAGGAAATCTCGCGAGATAAAACGTGAC